CACGAGCAATGCATGCATGTGTGTGTAAACCTCCTTTCCTCATTTTAGTTTCTAAATGACTAAGACACAATTCTTAATTTTAAAAAATCGATAAATTTTTGCTTGCAATAGTTGATTTAATATTGTTCACACACCCTGTTAAAAAAGTATGTAATTTGTAAATAACATCCCTTTTACCATTATAAATTAAGAAACCCCTTTTACCATGATGTATTAATATACCGTCTCGTTGTAATTGTCATACGGTATGAAATAAAAAGTAATTTATTTTAACGTCAAATGAATATATTAAGAAAAAGCATAATGAGTGTTTAGAATGAAAACACAATTAGGGATAGATTCAAAAAGCAATTATACGGGGTGAGCAATGTAAATATATATGATTAAATGTTAGTTGCTATTAAATTTTTATTTTTATTTTAGGATTCTATATAATTAAATACTACATCCTATTTATGAGAGATAATTGATTTTTTTAAATTTATTAAATAATTAATTAATATATATATATATATATATATATATATATATATATATATATATATATATATATATATATATATATATATATATATATATATATATATATATATATATATATAAACTATATATTTGTAACTCTACTAATAAGAAGTCAGTAAAATTTTACTATGCGGGAATTTGAAATGATTTGTCTTATCACGTCTCTTTTTCTATATATCGAGTCTCTTGGTTATATTTCATCCAATGGTCATTAAATACTTTGTCTCATTGTTTTCGAGAGATTAGCATGTCATCATTAACATTGAATACTTTGATTGGGCGTTTAATACTTGTGGATTATTACCTGACTGATTGTTGAGTTAGCGAAAACCCAATCCATTAATATTAAATAAGCCTTATAGTTAGAAAAAATCCATCAACCATCTAGTGTTGAGTCGAACTCGTGGTAAGGAAAGGTAACCCTTTCTTTTGTAATGGCGAGCTTAGCTTATCACGATTAAGGCCAACCATAGCTCGTTCGTCCTCCTTTGAGTATTCTTCAGGGTCCTAATATATCATTATAGTTATATCAATTGATACACATTACCTTAAACACATGATGTGCAGGTGCAAAGTGCTTTAAGTAGTAAACTTCGATAATACACCGTCTCTCAAGTACGAAACTTGCAGGGGTGAAATTCTTTAAGCAAAAATCTGATGTGTGACTCGCATTTTCTTCTTTGAAGTCTAACTAGCCTTTTACTTAGGTCATTTTGCCTGAAGCAGAGCGTGGAGATTTGCTTATGAATTGAATAATATATCTAGAATCAGACAATTCAATGTTCTTAATCAATTTCTCAATTCAGGGTCAAACCGACATCATAATTTAATCGATATGACTCGAGATTAATCATAGTGGTCGACGTGTAGGATTTACCTTTATAACTCGGCAAGTGTCTAATCTTGCCCCCACATTTTTAAGTTTTCTCTAAGTGTTTCAAGTGATCTAAAGCGATTGGATGGAGGTCTTGACTATCTGAATTTATGACTCTCGGTCTTCTCTGTTGTAAATCATAAATTCACGAGTTCATTCAACCTCACTGACGACTGTTTTGCTGTTGTATTACAGATCGAAAGATTTTTCTCTTAACGAAATTTTTTAGGACCGAGGAACCTTTCATTTTGTAGACAAAGATAAATTGTTTTATACTCCCCATTAACTTTTGTAACAAAGTCTCTGCTAAAGAGGAATATGGACTCGAATGGTTTAGAAGATTGGTTGAATAAATTGTTACCCAAAATATCAATTTAAAAATATTTGCTTTTCAAAATTATATTTTTATAAAATCTCTTGGCATAGCGGAATTTTGTATGATAAATGCGACTGGAATTATTGTATCGTATACACTTATACTCGAAAATAAAATGAACGAAAGATGAATAAGTTAAAGCAATCAATACATCATTTGATCTAAATTTATTTTACACTAAATGTATAAATCGAAGTTACTCAATTGATTAAGAAATCTATGAATACAAATTCTAGTTATAATCACAAGTAAAATCGTTTAGAATCTTGATCTAACACATACATAATTTTATACAAGAAACCACTATGAAAGTCAAAAAATCTAACAACGTGCAATTTCTATGAAAATAATAAATCCTAAACATATGATTATAATACTAAAAGTAAAGTGACAGGAACAAGGAGAGAGTGCATCAGATTTATAATGGTTTAGCATGTTCGTCATTTCTTTATGCTTAATCCATTGTTCAATGGTTTCGCATTGAAAATTAATACTCTTCCACTATGATTTGACAATTATTTTACATAATATTTAATACAATAACAAGATTCAAGATAATGCTAAAAATTAAACAATCATCGATCTGAATATTCTATTCATTGTACATGTTTTTGCACTCTAACTATTTTCTTCTTTGGTTGAATGAAATACTTTTCTTCATTATTATTTTTTTTAATTTCTTTTATTTTTGTTGATGACAAAAGGGGAAATAGATATTAAAGTATTTAAGCATCTGAATCTGATAGTTATTATTTATGCTTAAATTATGGAGATTTATTTATTGTGTTATAAAGTTTAAATTTAATTAACGCGGGGAGAATTTAGGGAGAGCTTACAAACCTCACCCTCTGGACTATTAGACTAGGGGAGTTTACAAACCTCACACCCTGAAGTCAACTTGTTAATTAAATTAACACATTATTCTTAAATACTTTTGTTTGTCATCATAAAAAATGGGAGATTGTTGGACAAAATTAGTTTGCACCATATTCCTTGGATTTTGATGATAACAAAGTATTTAAATAACAATTGTGTATACTAATATTTGTTCAAGTGTGCAGGACCATAGACTAAAATTTCAGGAATAATCTAAGTATTTGTTCTAATATTGAACATCTAAAGAGAAACTTAAGATTAGAATTTGAAAGATCCAAAGTTGTAGACCAGACTCAAAAGAAGTCTACTTCTGAAGAAGTTAACATCTGAAGACCAAAGTCTGAAGAAGTCAACATCTAAAGACCAAAGCCTGAAGAAGTCAGCATCTGAAGACCAGACTTTGAAGAAGTCTGCTTCTGAATATCAGAATCTGAGTCAGTTAAAGCGCAAGGAGCAATGTGACTCTAATAGGTCACCGTCAGACTCTGAGGCACTTTGTCTTCTTCTGATCACGAGAAAACCTAAGTTATTTATCATTGAGTCAACTGAGATGTAACTGACAATTCCTTTGTAGCAAAGGAATTTCAAACAAGTTTTTAATGACATTAACCATTTTAAGAAACATCTCAACGTCTCTATTCAAGCTTCTCAAAGATTCTCTTATGCAAGATTTCTATCAACTTTTTTCATTCTCTATATAAGGATCTAAAAACTTGAAGAACAACGACGGACCATTAACATCAGAGAGTTGTTACTCTATCAAAACAAAAGCACAAGCTTAACTTAGGATTTCTTATCATTGTATATAAAAATTCCTAAGTCTTAAAGAGTATTATTGTATTGTATTTTGTCTACACCTTTGATTATATATCAAATGCATTGCCCCAAACAATTTTTTATCTGTTTATTAGATTGTCAAAAGTCTCTTACTTAGTGTTTGAGTATTCAAAGTCTCTTGCTTGTGTGCTTGAGCATAAAAATCTCTTGCTTGTGTGCTTCAACATTAGAAGTATCTTACTTGTGTGCTTGAGCATATGAGTCTCTTACTACGTGCTTGAGCATTGGAAAATCTCTTACTTGTATGTTTGAGAAAATTGTAATCTTGTGTGATTATAGTGAAAATCTCTTGTAAATACAAGGGAATTGGACTACTTTCGATTTGTGAGAGGAACCAGAATAACTTTGTGTGTCTCATTCTTTCTTTCATTCTTTATCTGCTGCTTATATCTCACCTCTAATCAGTTCAGATTCTATAATTTGTGTTTAGAATCTGACTAGAGCTTTAAAAAGAAAGAAAAGTCTAACACAACTCAACCAATTTTTTCTATTTTTCTCACCTTCATTGTTGTATCCCGAAATCGAAAAGACAACACAAAACTTAGAAAAAAAAATTGAAAACTAAATCATCAAATCAATCTATAAATAATTAATTTAATTATATGTTTTTATCATTTATTTATTTATTTTTAATGAGTTTTAGTAATGATTTAGGAGAGAGGGGGAGAGAGTAAAAACAGATACTACTTATTATATATTTTTTCTTATAAATTAAAATAAATAAATAAATATAAGAATGTATATGACAAAGTTGATTATACAAATAATTTAAATTAAAATTAAAACTAATAAAAAAATATTTATTTATATTTTTGACGCGTGTGTTTATTAGAAAAAGCGAAAATAAAATAATAATAATAATAATAATAATAATAATAATAATAATAATAATAATAATAATAATAATAATAATTATTATTATTATTATTATAATAAAACAAAAATTCATCTAACCATAATGTATTAATAAAATAAAATGCTCAACATATAATTTTTTTTTAAATAATCAATTTCTCTTGATTTCTCTGTTGATGCTCGCTTTAGACACTTAACCAAAGAGAAAATAGCGCTCGCGTGCTTGCGTCTGCGTTTAGATCTCAAACGCGCTGTGTGCTACCACCACCACCATCTCACACAAAATTCCGAGAGAAGAAAAGCAATGAATCGTTGAACCACCCTCACCTCGAATGAAACCCTCTGCGACGTCGTCTCACACCTCTCCACAATCATCAATCAAGGTTCTCTTCTTCATTTCATTCATTTAATTTTCATTTCTCGATTCCGATTTTTCAAATCAGACGGTTGTGTTATGCTCTGTTTGGTTTACGCCGAAATAGAAACGAATTTTTGAAAAATCATCGAAAACAACACCGATACATTGCTTTCTGTTGATGATTGTGTTAATCGTATTGAAATTTGATTTGATTATGTTTAGGATAAGAAGAGGATCCGAATCATGAGGCAGAATTAGGTGTGGTGATTACAGTGGGTAGCAATAACGGAGTGGATCGGAAAATGGACAAGAGTAAGAGCCGTACCGATCTACTCGCAGCTGGCAAAAAAAAGGTATATCTCTATTTCAATTTCTTCTTTCTCAAGTGTGTATGTGTGTGTGTTTGTGGAGAATTAGATGCACCTCTTGCATTGTTGTTAAATAACTATAGCATAGTGGAATCTGACACTTGTGATTCGTTTAATTTAATTTATTCGTTTTTCAAATTATTACCACGAGTAAGTGCAGGTGTCGTGTTTCCGGTGTCTGCTATTACTCTGCAACACTCTATTTACTTAATAGTGTTGTTATATAAAAGCTACAGCTTATAGCGTAGTGGAGTTTGAACAATTTGCTATTGTTCCGCGATACACTATTTAGTGCAAAGTAATGTGAACTTGTCATATAGCAGCTATAGGCTATAGCATAGTGGAATTCCAATAAATCATCATTTTTCGGTGATGTGATGTTTAGTACAAAGTGTTCTCTAATACAACCTACAGTGGTGCTAAAACAATGTAGCATAGCAGAAACAAACTGCTTTTTTCCGTGATCTGCGATTGAAAGCACCGGCCTGTTTTTTTTCTTCTGTTAGATGGTGGTTTTATAGGATTTAGTAAATTGTTACCAATGGGAAGAATTTTTGGATAGTGTGAAATGGTGCAGGTTAGAAAGTATAAAACACTTAATGTATAATGGTTGATGTGGAAAATAAAGGCTTAGAATTTTATTAAATACGTTATGCGCAAAAACAAACCTTTATGAGAGAGTATATCTCTTTGATTTTGTTGTGAAGGGTTATGGTTATGATATGTACTTTCTACTTTTTAGTGTACCAAATTTCTAGATGATGAAGGTCCGGTTTGGATTAGCTTCCTATCTTGCGGGAGAGTTTGAATTAAAATAAGTTTATGGTTAATGTTATTCAATTAATGGATTTTTTTATAAGCTTATACTCATAGGTGTTTATGGGATAAGAGCTTCTGGAGAAAATGAGATGGAGTAGTTAAAAACTCAGTTATAAATTATAGTTATAATTTTTTTCTTCTGATAAATGCTTGTGCAGAAGTTTATTCAAACTGACTCCAAATCCACCTAAGAAAATAGTGTGGCATACTGTATACCGAGTCTTGTAGTATTTCATCTGTACTTCCTTTTTGAACGTTGACACATGCGTAAATGAAATTGGATATTTTAATAGGATCAGAAAATATGTGATTTTATCTTTCTCTTCCTATTTGTTTCTTCCGACTAGTCTGCATCAGCATATATAGGGTAGCAAAATTGAATGGTTGCATGTTGCAGTTATGAATTTTGATTCTCATGCTTTTATTGTCAGCTCCAACAATATCGTCAGAAGAAGGATAATAAAGGTGGTAGTAGCCGTGGGAAATCATCAAAAAAGTCTTCCAAAAATCAGCTACCCGAGTCTGATGCAGATGCTGATGCTGCCAGTGTTACCTCTACAGGATCGTCTCAGGTTACTGATGGAAATGTTGAAACCAACAGTGATTCCAATGTTGTTATCACTGAACCAATAGAATCACAGTCTTTGGGAAGCTCAACAGCCGCTGACAATGTTGATCCATCTGTTGATTCTTCGTCAGTGGGCAAGACATCTGATACAGGTGAAGAAACTGATTTGGATTCTAATGCTAAGTTGGCACTTCAGGGTCGTGGGGTCCATGAGAAGGATTCTGAATTGTCTTCCCCAGATCAAGGAGGGAGCTCTCAGAATATTGGTGCTAATGTGGCAAAAGATGTGTCTTTTACAAGTTCATCGGCTCCTGACAATGTTGATCCATCTTTTGATTCATCATCAGTGGTCATGACATATGATACAAGCCATGAAACTGAATTAGATTCTAGTGATAAGTTAGCACTTGAGGGTCATGGAGTCCATGAGAACGATTCTGAATTGTCAGCCAAAGATCAAGGTGTAAGTTCTCTGAATGTTGGCGCTGATGTAGCAGAAGATGTTTCTTTGAGAACTTCAAATAGTGAAGGAGGAACAACACACGATCATGCATCCAAACCTGTTGATCTTTTGTCCCCGCATGCTTCTATTACAACTGCAGTGGATGAGTCTATCACAATTGAAAAAGAGTGTGAAGAAAAGGAAAGATCGTTGCCTTTATCTGAAGATATTTCCAGTACATATGTGGTGCAAACGAGAGAAGATCAGGTAACAAATTTAGGTTGTGCTCTCTCTCCTTGCCTCTTTAGTTTAACTGCAGAACATTATGTTTAATTACGAGGGTATTGTTGGGCAGACTGGGAAAAATTATATGTGGATTTGATTTATAATTTATATTCTCATTTATTGCTGGGTAGGGGCAATGCAGGAAGCTGATGATTTGGATATGGCGAAATCTTGTCAAAGCACTGATGCAATTATAGATGATCAAAAGGATATTCCTTTGTTTGAAGCCGGTGAGGGTGACCAGTCTCTTTCAGGAATTACTACGGAGAATACTAGAATCAAGGAGGTATCTCATGAAGCGGAACAACTAGACAGGCCAGTGGAATTATTCTCCTCTCTTGAAGACATTGTGTCAGATAAGCATTCAGGTTCCGATAAAGGCCAGGATGATGCTTTCGCAACTGTAGGGACTTCAGTGAAAAATTTGGAGAGAGGAACATTACTGGGTTCATCTTATGGTGAAATGATTCTTCAGTCTACTGAAGAACAGATAAGCAAGGGAGTCCTTAGTGGACAGGATGTAGCACTTCACGGGGGGTTTAACCAGCAATGTACTCTTGTTGGATCTGCAGCTGATGATTCCACTCATGAGTTGTCAACCAGAGCTTCCACCAGATTGTTTGATCTCTCTCCTATTTCTGATGCGAGCTCAGTTAATCTTTTGCAATTAGCTGAATTTATAAGAGGGCTTAATGAAGAAGAGTACCAGTTTCTGCTCAAGGCAAGAGGAGCATTTTCTGATGCAGATCCATTAACTAGTAGTTCAGTTCTACCAAACCATGACTTTTCAGAAGCGTTCCAGAGACTGAAAGAAGAATTGTTTCTTGCTCATATGATGCAAAATATATTCAGTATGCAGCTAGCTGAACAACTGGACCTCCAATCGGAATCTGATTATCACCGTTACCAGTTGATTGGTGAACTATCGCAGCTCCATGATTCACGCAATGAAGTTAACGAGAACAATCAACGACTTAACGAAGAACTTGCTAACTGCCGTGTAGAACTAGAGAATAGTTTTAGCAAGAGTGTAGAACTACAGAACCAATTTGATACTGCAATGGCGGGGATTGAAGCTCTTTCTGCCAGATTAGTTGAGCTGCAGATTAGTTTTGAAATGGCTCAGAAAGATTCGTTGGATCTATCCACAGAGTTGGCCGACTGCAGAAGTTTGATCTCAAGTTTACAGGATGAAAAGAAGGGTGTGAGCGAAACTCTTGATTTGGTGATTTCTGAGAAAAATAAACTTGCAGACGAGAAGGAGTTTAACCTATGTGAAAGTCAGAAGCTGGCAACTGAATTGTCTTGCTTAAAGAGTTCAATGGAAGCAGTAGAAGTCGAAAATTCCAACTTAACTGACAGGATCTCTTTGGTGACCGAAGAGAGCAATATGTTCAAAGCAGAAATCAAGCATCTCTTGCAAGAGATCGATAGAATTTCATTAGATTTGGTTGAAAATAAAGACTTGGTGGCAAGTCTAAAGAGCGAAAATTCCAATTTAAATGGGAACCTTGCATTGTCAGTTGATAAGATTAAAAATATGGAAGACGATAATGAATCTGTTGTTCTTGAGAATCAAAGGCTCACTTCTCAGATTGTTTCCATACTAGAACAATTATCTATTGAAAAGGGAGAGCGAATGAGATTTGAAGACGACCTTAAAGAAGCCACAATGCACTTGGAACAACTTTCCAAGGAAAACCTATCACTTAATAGCACTTTAGATGAGCACAAGGTTAAAATAGAAGAAATGGCAGTTACTAAAGATTCTCGGCAGATAGGTCAGGGGCTTGATGATGGTGCAGCAGGGGGACCATTTGAAAATATACCTGAACAAGAAACTTTCAATGATTCTCTTGGGTTTATTTCATTGAAGACTGATTTGAATGAGGCGGAGAATGTTTTGGTGAAGCTTGAAAAGGCAATTGATGAGTTGCATTCTCAATCACAAATCTCTGGCGGGACTGTTGAGAAAGTTTCTTCACCCGTGGTATCAAAATTGATACAGGCTTTTGAACCAAAAGTAAATGAAACTGAGCATGTGGGAGAGATAAGTGTTACAACTGATGTTCAGTCACAATCAAAGTGCGGTAGGAAAATTGAAGAGCAAATAGGAAACTTGAGAAAATTGCTATCAAAGTGGAAGCTGGATGTTCAGAGTGCATATTCATTGTTCAAGGGGGAACGAGATGGTAGGAAAATTGGGGATGCAAAGTACAGTGATCTTGAGGACCAGTTTGAAGGATTGAAGCAACATTGTTCAGATTTGGAAGCATCTAACGTCGAACTTGCAGTTCAATATGAAACAGTTAAACAACTTCTGGGCGACATTCAAGAAAAGAAATGTCATCTTGAGGAAATCTGTGAAGCTTTAAAGCAAGAAGATATTCACCTCAAAGCCAAAAATAGTGAACTCTATGACAAGCTTGGATATTGTCATTCAAAAATGATTGAATTGCTTACTGAAATGAATGATGTGAAACTAAGTTTGAATGAGATGGCTTCTGTTATTAGCAGTCAACTAGAAAATTTGCAGAAGGAGGTGACACAGAGGGCGGTGCTACTTGAGCAAGGCTGGAATACTACTATTGATGAGATTGTTAAGTTAGTTGCGAAGCTGAATGAATCAGTTGGGGGAACATCTCATACAATGGTCTCTTATGACACCCATGATGGCTCGCATATCAGTCATTGGTTAGATGCTTCTGTTAGTGCTGCCACTGAAATGATTTTTGGTCTGCAGCAGAAACTTGAAGCTTCTAATGCAGATCATGAAATAATCACCATGTCACATAAAGAAATGACTACGAAATGTGATCATCTGCTTGAGAGGAATGAAATGGCTATCAATGTACTACATAAAATATACAGTGACCTGAGGAAACTTATGTTTAGTGGTTGGTCTTTGGATGAAGATACGATAGATGTTCAAAGTGAGGCACTGCCTGATTTACTGAATTATAATAACTATGACACCATCATGAAGCATTTGGGGGATATATTGATTGAAAAGCTGGAATTGGAGTCTGTTACCAATAAGATGAAGTCAGAATTGGTGCACAAGGAAACTGAATATGAAGAATTGAAGATAAAGTGTCTTGGTTTAGATTCTGTTGGAAAGCTAGTTAATGATGTTGCAGGTGCGCTGCATGTGGAAACTCCGAATATTGAAATAAACACATCGCCCCTTTTGCACTTAGATTCATTAGTGTCTAGTCTTGTACAGAAAACCAAAGAGGCTGAAATCCAGAATCATGCCACTAAAGAAGACGATGGATCTAAGGAGATGGAATTGGATGAACTGAAAGAAAAAATGCATTATCTAGACATGCTGCGTCTTGAGAATGAAAATGAAATCTTTGTTCTAAGGGAAAGCTTACATCAAGCTGAGGAAGCTCTTTCTACTGCACGTTCTGAATTACGTGAGAAAGCAAATGAACTCGATCATTCAGAACAACGAGTGTCCTCCATCCGGGAGAAACTTGGCATAGCTGTTGCCAAGGGAAAAGGATTAGTTGTACAGAGGGACGGCCTCAAGCAGTCCCTAGCTGAGACATCTACAGAATTGGAGAGATGCTCGCAAGAGTTGAATTTGAAAGATACAAGACTTCACGAGCTTGAAACAAAACTTAAGACCTATTCAGAGGCTGGTGAACGCGTGGAAGCTTTGGAATCAGAACTTTCCTATATTCGTAATTCAGCTAATGCCTTGAGAGAGTCATTTCTGCTCAAAGATTCAATGCTCCAGAGGATAGAAGAGGTTTTGGAAGACCTAGATCTGCCTGAGCAGTTTCATTCGAGTGATATAATAGAGAAGATTGATTGGTTGGTTAGGTCAGTTGTTGGCAACTCATTGCCCATGAATGACTGGGAGCAGAAAGATTTTGCAGGAGAACGTTCATATTCTAATGCTGGTAATGCTGTTGCAGATTCTTGGAAAGATAATAGTCAGCTACAACCAGATTCAGGGGACGATGCAGGTAGACCTTCATACTCTGATGCTGGTTTTGTTGTCACAGATTCGTGGAAAGATGATAGTCAGCAACAGCCAGATTCAGAGGGTGATTTTCAAAAAAACTTTGAAGAGTTGCAGAGTAAATACTATGGGCTGGCTGAGCAAAATGAAATGCTGGAGCAGTCATTGATGGAAAGAAACAGCTTAGTTCAGAGATGGGAGGAGCTTGTAGACAAGATTGACATGCCTTCACATTTGCGGTCTATGGAGATGGATGGTAGGATTGAATGGGTAGGAAGAGCACTTGCCGAGGCTAATCATCATGTAGATTCTCTGCAGCTGAAGATTGAAAGATATGAAAGCTATTGTGGATTGCTAAATACTGATCTGGAAGGGTCTCAGAGAAGAGTGTCCACTCTTCAAGAAGACCTTAAAGTTCAAACATTGGAGAGAGAGCACCTTTCTGAAAAAGTAGAGGCTCTGAGAAATGAATGCGAGAAACTATCTGTGCAGACAAGGGGAGCTGAACTTGAGAATGAAAATCTGCACGTAGAAATTACTAGTTTGAAGGATCAGTTGGAGCAGAAAGCTGAAATTGAAGAACAGATTTTCACCATCGATGGCAAGATAAAGAAATTACAAGACTTAGTTGGCGATGCCTTGTTAGAATCTGAAACAGAATATCTGGTTTCTGATGGTGCAAATATTGATTATTTGGAAGAATTGCTGAGAAAGCTTATAGGAAATCATGCTAGTTTGAAGGATCGGTTGGAGCAGAAAGCTGAAATTGAAGAACAGATTTTCACCATCGATGGCAAGATAAAGAAATTACAAGACTTAGTTGGCGATGCCTTGTCAGAATCTGAAACAGAATATCTGGTTTCTGATGGTGCAGATATTGATTCTTTGGAAGAATTGCTGAGAAAGCTTATAGGAAATCATGCTAGTTTGAAGGATCGGTTGGAGCAGAAAGCTGAAACTGAAGAACAGATTTTCACCATCGATGGCAAGATAAAGAAATTACAAGACTTAGTTGGTGATGCCTTGTCAGAATCTGAAACAGAATATCTGGTTTCTGATGGTGCAAATATTGATTCTTTGGAAGGATTGCTGAGAAAGCTTATAGAAAATCATGCTAGTCTTTTATCAATGAAATCTATGCGGGGTGTTGTACTTGATGGACATCACCCACAAAATGACGATGCTACTCTTCATGAGGAAAAAAGTATTGATATGCATGATAAGGATCAAGCGGATATTGATAGATACAAGAAAGATCTGGAGGCAGCTTTGAGCGAATTGGAGCATTTGAAGGAGGAGGGAGGGAGATATTTGGAAAAGCAAATATCTCTATCTGGTGAAGTTGAAGCTCTGAGTAAAAGAACCGAGGAGTTGCAAGAGCTTCTTAATCAGGAAGAGCAGAAATCTGCTTCTGCAAGAGAGAAATTAAATGTTGCAGTCAGGAAAGGGAAGTCATTGGTGCAACAAAGAGACAGTCTAAAACAAACCATTGGAGAGATGAATGTTGAGATGGAGCACTTGAAATCTGAGATCAACAAACGGGAACACACTATTGCAGAGCATGAACAGATGATGAGACAATTATCAACCTACCCAGATAGGTTAGAAGCGCTTGAATCTGAGAGTTCTCTTCTTAAGCATCGTTTGGAAGAAACTGAACACCATTTGCAGGAGAAAGAGTATTCCTTGAAACTGATTTTGAACAAGCTAGGTGAGATTGATGTTGCAGGTGAAGGTCATATAAGTGATCCGGTGAAGAAGCTGGAATGGATTGGAAAACTGTGTTCTGATCTCCATGATTCCGTCGCGTCTTTAGAACAGGAATCCAGGAAATCTAAAAGAACATCAGAACTCCTGTTGGCAGAGTTGAATGAGGTTCAAGAAAGGAATGATAGTTTTCAGGAGGAGCTTGCTAAGGTGGCTGATGAACTTGTGGATCTCAGAAGAGAAAGGGATTCAGCGGAGGCTGCCAAACTGGAAGCTCTTTCACATGTTGAAAAGCTGTCTAAATTACATGAGGAAGAAAAACAGAGCCATTTTTATGAGCTTGTGGAATTAAAATCTAGCATGAACCAAGTCTGGAAAGGCTTTGGTGAGGTTCAGAATTTATTGGCCAAGACTTTTTTCACAGATTTGGAATCTTTTCGGAATGTGGAAGTTGGTCTTGAGTTGTGTATGAAAGGATACAATGCTCCAAATGTGGTGGATTCATCTTCCAGCGAAGAACGTGATCGTATTTTACTCAAGTCACCTGACAATAAGGTACAATTATCACATGAATACTCTACTAGTCACATACAATGATATTTTGCTCTCAGTTTTAATATTTTTATATACTGCATCAACTGTCATTTATGCGTTATATTATAAGAAACAGTAATAGATTGTAGCCTGCAGTCAGGCTGATACTTGACAATGATTTGTTAGTTTAATTTTTTTATACTATTTGTTATTCGGGGTGGGGTGAGTAGCTTTGGTCAGATTGACATATTTATTGAGCTTGAAAGGAAGTTGGATCGAGAAAGTCTTCATTTTTCCATTAAGGATTTGGATGTGATGATTTTTTCTTTGACAATATGCACATAGCCTGATCTAGAGTTACTCTACTAGTAGTCCTTTAGTAATTATTTCACCAAAAGTTGCTCCGCCTTTTCATTATCATTTTTATGAAAGAGAGCATGAATAATATAGTTTTCAATGTATTAATTTTCTATAAATTGATATCCCAAATTTTATTCCTTTAATATTGTGGCTTCTAGTTTGTCTTCAATGTATTAATTTTCATGTGGGGCATAATTATATACCTTGCTATTATTTGGGTTATCTGACTTATTTTTCTTTCTAATAATGCTCTTGATTTTTCTTCAGACGAGCTCTATGTATGCAGATTCTTGGTCAGAATTTGGCACAATTGACCACTATAATGATAATACCATTATTGAAAACTTTCATCTACTTGGGCATAAACTGCAAGAGTTTTTGGTGGAGGTCAGCTCTCTTAAGGAAAGAATACACATGCACTCCAGTTCGACACGGGAGCAAGACAAAACTCTGTCGAAACTAATGACAAATATTCAGAGAGAAATTACTTCCCAAAGAGAATCTTTTGAAAAGATAAAGACAGAAGTTAATAAACGAGATCTGCAACTTATTGCATTGCGTGGGAACGTTGCCCACCTTTATGAATCATGCATCAATTCTGTCACTGTATTAGAGAACGGAAAAACTGAACTGCTTGGAGAAAAGGTTGAATTTCCAGATCAAGGGATTAACTTGAAAACACCGTCATTTGATGATGAAATATCCGAGGAATGTGTTAAAACCCTGGCTGATAGACTACTGTTGGCTGCAAATGGGTTTGCTAGCATAAAAACCGAATTTTTAGATGCTAATCAAAAGGAAATGAAGGCTACTATAACAAATTTACAGAGGGACCTTCAGGAAAAGGATGTTCAAAGAGACATAATTTGTGCAGACCTGGTAAAACAGATTAAGGATGCTGAAGCTGCTGCAAAACGTTACTCTCAAGAACTTCAATCTCTTAGGATGGAGGAACATGATTTGAAAAAACAGGTAGAAGTGTTTGAGGGAGAAAAGAAGATACTTGAGCAGAGAATCAAGGAGCTGCAGGATAGGCAAGGGATTGCAGCAGAACTAGAGGATAAAGTAAGATCTCAGATTGGTTTGTTGGCTGCCAAAGACCAAGGTGGGCTTTGTATGATTGCTAAAGTCTTTAAAAAATGAACAGGTAATATATTTTATAAACTAAAACTTACACTATTTCTGTAACTTAATGATTTATTGCAGAAATTGAATCCTTAATGCACGCACTTGACGAGGAAGAGATGCAAATGGAAGAACTGACAAAGAAAAATGCAGAACTTGAAAAGGCTGTTCAACAAAAGAATCAAGAGATTGAGAACCTTGAATCTTCTCGTGGTAAAGTTATGAAAAAGCTTTCCGTAACTGTAAGCAAGTTTGATGAACTTCACTGCCTATCTGCAAATCTCCTTTCTGAGATTGAAAAGCTTCAGTCCCAATTGCAAGAAAAAGATTCCGAAATTTCTTTCTTAAGGCAAGAGGTTACTCGATGCACTAATGATGATCTTCGTGCATCACAACTGAACAACCAGAGAAGTCTGGATGATATCGTTGAATTCTTTATGTGGGTTGACACAATTGTATCTCGAGATGGGATGGATGATATACCTCCTGATGTGAAGAGTGATGCTCAGGTTCATGAGTACAAAGAAATACTTCAGAAGAAGTTGATGTCTTTAATATCAGAGTTGGAGAATCTAAGGGAAGTTGCAGAAAGCAGGGATGAAATGCTGCAAGCAGAAAAGAGTAAAGTAGCAGAGTTGAACCATAAAGCAGAAACGCTTGAGAAGTCCTTGCGTGAGAAAGAATCACAATTGAATTTGCTTGATGGTGTGGAAGAAACTGGAAAGGGAATTGCCTCAAGCTCAGAAATTGTGGAGGTAGAACCAGTGGTAAGGAATACAAATTTTTTGTATTGAATCTCATTAAATAGAAATCATGTTAGAACCTCTTCAATTAAAAAAAACATGAAATATAAGATTTGCACCTATTCTCTCCTCTAGCACATCATTAATCCACTCTGATCGAATATGACAGTTGTTTTTTCTTAAAAACAATAATAAAGCATAAGGTAATGAAAAAAAGATTCAATATTTTTTTTTTTGGTAAACATTACGTAGATACACAATTACGACAGTTATGATAATGGATTTAAAGTTGAAGGTATTGAATTTATTTACTCTCATTTTATTTTATTTCTTTTACAGATAAATGAATGGACAACAACAGGGGCATTTGTTACACCTCAAGTTCGCAGTTTGCGCAAGGGCAATAGCGATTATGTTGCCATTGCTGTTGATGAAGATCCTGGTAGTACTAGTAGGATAGAAGACGAAGATGACGACAAGGGTAATTTCGCACTACTTTGCCTGTGTGCTATAACCTGGTGCTCTCAAATACTATGTTTCCGGTTATTAACTTTTGGTTTCACAACTTTTTTATGCAGTTCATGGTTTCAAATCACTCACATCATCCAAAATTGTCCCAAGATTTACCAGACCAGTAACCGACTTGCTTGATGGCTTGTGGTAGGTCTATTTTTCTCTCTTGCACGGTTTTAAAACTTTCTTTTAATTTGATAATTGACATGCATTCGTGTTTTGTAGGGTTTCTTGTGATCGAACTTTAATGAGACAACCGGTTTTGAGGCTTGGAATTATAATTTATTGGACCATAATGCACGCACTCCTTGCATTCTTTGTTGTCTGATGCTCTGAGTTGGCTTTGTATAATTAATTGGCCTTAAAATCCTAAGCAAGGCATAAGAGATGTCATTTATAGATTGGAGATATTCCTTTGATAAAGGATTCAGTTTAGTTGTACAGTGTCTTCCTTCAACTTGCTTCTTCCCGTCGTGGTACATCGATTATAAAGCATAAGAAAATAAAGATGCAGCTGCTAGAAAGGATACCGGGCTGCAATGAACGAAATATGATAAAGCAGATTGCTCAATATTTGAAGAGCAAAGGATGAAGAGCCTGCTACATAAAACACTAGGAGGTTTGTTTTTACCAAGAACCTGATGCGTTTTACATTGAACAGAAGATCAATACTGTGACTGTTTTTGTAAAGGAGAACAAATTTTGGGTCGTTCATGTGAACTGGATAAATGACTAGTTAGGTATAGAAAAAACGTAATTCTTTTATAAGTTTTTTCTCCCTACTTAGGCATAAGAAACTTAATTTGCCATTCTTTTTTCATAGTGTATTATATCAATCATATCAATATTATGAATTTTTTTGGCAGTTTTCAGTCATTAAAAATACATAACCATATAAACCAATAATATGTTTAGATTTTTCTATCTTATTACTAGAGTCAGGTATATTATTAATCTTCACACTGTCAAATGTCAACACAACCATCTCAATAACAATATAACACTGATAATCCCTCATAAGTTAGTGGTATATATTTGTATTAGTCAATATTTCATAAATGTAAGTGAATTCTGTGTTAATCTTTAAGACCTTGTTTGAGATTTTGGAGGGAAGAGATAGGAAGAGTTTCGGAAAATAAATTTTTAAAAATATAGAGAAAATTTTAATATTTTTTGAAAGAATAATTTTGTATAAAAAATATAGATTATATTAATATATTTTTAATTAATCAAAATATTCAACTCATTAAGCCCATTCTCCAACACAATTTTTTAGTTCTCGAAATTTTTTAATTTTAGAATAAAATTAAATCCTAGAACGCATAACTTCTCCTTAACTAGTTAGATTATAAAGTTAAATTTTATCACATCTATTTATAATATGTTAATACAAAAGTTTGTATCCTAATATAACTTCTCCTTAACTAGTTAGAGCATAAAGTTAAATTCTATCCATCTATTTATAATAAGAATATATTCTAAGGCGAACATCTTAACTTCATCTTAGTAATTTTAAAATTGATTTAAACTCCATTTGTGCCACATTTCTCTATAGTGTTTTAAAATTTATTTTCATTATTCAAAAGATCAAATACAATTTCTTTTATTGGAGGTCATGTGTTCAAACTCTAACAAATATTAAAAAAAAATTTTAACTAAATAATTTAACAAGACAACCATTATTCAAATTACATATTTAAAATTAAAATAGATTTACAAATCCAATACAACAATAATAAAAATAATATTTCAAAACAAATGTCTTTAATTTCAAATAATTCGTACACAATTTTCAAAAATCATTCACTCTCAATTAATTTTAAGAAATAATAGAACATACAACAATCTTTTTCAAATTATATGTTTTGTATTACATTATTCATATGATACACTACAAATAAGCTAAAGAAAAACAAGGTCTTTGATTTTTCAAATATGAGGATATAAAATTTTTCCAAAGTAAATTATAGTTTTTTTAACAAAAAAATTTATAATAGTAATCCAGAGGAGTATAATAAAATCAAAGAAAATAATGTCTAAACAAAGAACACTCATTTACAAAAAATATCAACAACAAAATTGATAAATTTTTTACAATTCCTTTATTAAAAATTAAAATAATTAATTAAAAAAATAAATTAAGCTAATATAGTAATTAACATTTACAACCCTTTATTTATTACATTACAAAATTTGACAAAATAGACATAAATTTATAAAACAATTAAAGTTTTATTTGATAATAATTATAAAAAAAACTTTAAAATCTATTAACGACTAGAAATAAATAAACTTCTTTAACAACTTAAAATGTAATATCTATATCAAAACATAATTACCGAAAGACATGAGAATAAAAAAAATACTCAATAGTTATTTAAATTTATAAAACTAAATTTTGGAATATATATTTTTATATGTGATCAATTTATATCATTGTTTTAATTATAATTCACAATAAACTATTTTAATATAAATTTATTAATATTTTTTTTCAAAACAAATTTTAAACATATTTAAAATTCAATAGAAAACAAACTAATTTACAACGGTGCATTACACGGCTTTTATTCTATTTTTTCTATTAAAAAATAGTCATAAATATGAGCGTGAATATATTATAAGTAAATAAAAACTATCAATTTTTGTTTAATTTATGGATCAAATTCAGGTGTTCTCAATCTACTTGACTTAATTAAAATGTATTATTTGGTTGTCTCTATTTTACTTATACATGTCATTTACTAGTTTTAAAGACATGAAGGTTTCTATTTAGGAAAGTTAGTGATTTCATAGTCAAGTGGAGATGGGTGCTTCCTCATAATTTCATGCTGCTCTTTCCTAACTTATACTCCATCATTTCTTCTTGTCACATTCCTGATGGAGACTTGAAAGACAGAAGAGCTTGGTTACCCCTAGGCACAAGATGCTTGGCTCTCATGGAGGTTTTCAAATTCATCTCAAAATCAAGTACTATGGTCCCTTGGCATAAGCTGATGTGGAACTTTAGCATCCCACCTTCAAAATCAAGTACTATGCCGTGAAATAGATCAAGTTATAGAATAGTTTGTAAAGTGTAAATTCCTTCATACCATTTGGCATTTTTTCAGTAAGAAGTTCATAATTTATCTTTAACTACTAACTACAACCACTATTTTGCATTTTTCGAGTCAAATGCAATGGAATTCAGAATTTTATATGACTTCTCACACTTGAAAGTAATGAAATGTGAATTACAAATTTGTTAGTGGCGGCGATGATGAGAGAATGTATTGACCTTGTGTTGTTACATATAATTCATTAATAGATGGGTACTGTCTTGTTAATGAAGTGAATGAGGTCAAATGTATGTTAAACATTTTTCTCGCATGAGAATGGCTCCTAAGACTCAAAGTTGTGATATCATGATTAATGGATTTTGAAAGATTATAATGGCTAATGAAGCTTCGAGTCTTCTTAATGAAATCAAGGAGAATATCATATGATAAGATATAACTTACAACTCTCTCAATGATGGTTTGGGCAAATAAGAGAGAATATCATATAAATGAAGAGTTTCTTGATGAGATGCATGATAATGGTCAATCAGATGTTATATTCACTTACACTTCTTTAATAGATGTTTTATGCAAAAATTATTATGTTGACAAGGCTGTTGGTTTAGTCACGAAAATTAAAGACCATGACATTCAACTAGATATATGCACATACAATATACTTATTAATGGATTCAGGTCCTCTCCTGCATTACTCCTTCTGCTCAATTTCTGGCCATTGGATTTAATTTAAGTGTTTGATCTCAGTAAACCTGACAGTTTCATCTCTACTGCTATTTTGATTGCCTCATCAATCAGACCAATGTCTTAGAGAAGAAACATCATTATTTCGTATGAAATACTATTTGAACGGCCAGCCTTTTTTCAAAGTTTCAAAAGTCAGCATGGCTTCGGATACAAGCCAAGTTCGGCAAGGCATTAAACATACTATTACATGCAACTAAATCAAGACCACCTTCCATGTTCTGCATCTGCTCGTAGATGGACTTACTCCTTCCATGTCGCCGCCACCCTTACAATAGGACTTTAGTAGGGTTGATAACACAACTAAATAATATTGAAGAATGCAGATATGAATGGAGAACAAACACTAATGCACTATGCTATCTCTTATTATACCTATATCAATATAAAAGCTTCAATATTAATTTAAGGAAAATATTTCATTTCATCTCAATCTGAACTATTATCTACTATTTGCCACTTGGTTGTAGCAAAGTATTATCCGCTACATCTTTGTAGCTGACAAAAGGTAACAGCTAATAAATATGAACCAAATAGTGTGATGCAAAACAAATACCTCATTTGCTATATGAACAAATGAACAAACACTCCTAGGGAAAACTAATGCACTCCACTAGCAGCTACAAACACTTGGGTGCACACAAAGAAGCCCCACCGTGAGAATCCTCTCCATCTCTGGTGCATCAACCTTGGATCAGCAACATCAATTCCCCGAGAAACATCATCCACAGAAGTGAAAGATGTGATTGTATTGACTCAGAAGATCATAATTTTATCAGAGAAACCAACCAAAAGAGCGCTTCAAGAATGGCTGATCAGAATCAACAACCCATCGACCCGCAAAACCCGTGGAAGTTACAAAAAACACGGATTGAAGAATATATAGTTCATTTGCTTTTCTAAATAAATTGTGTCTAAATTTCGGCAGCTTAAAGAGGCCGTGCTGCGCTGTGCACTTTCAGCCCATCGCATCAAGGTGACAGGATTTGAACCTATGGCCTTATGTACCCAAATCAGTTGCGTTGCACCTCCTCTCACCCACTCAGCATATAGATCCACCCGATCGATGAACACTAAAACCAAACTCACGCAAAGAAAAATACAAAATATTTCCAAACATATAATCCAAGTAAAAAATATGAACCCATATAACCCACAAATTGGCCAAACATAATCAATTCCATTAGTAGAAGTAGAATCGTTTATAACTTTCCACAATTATTACAGAAGCATCAGTATCAAAAAGATGTGCATTACATGAATGTTGCGTGCTAGTAAATAGCTACTTACCTACTTTTTGCGTTTAAGAGGTCCAGTCTTGAAGCCCCCCTTAGTTGGCTTACCCCAAGGAGTACGTGATCCTTTCCCCCACGCACCACTACTCTTGCTCTTTCCCTCTCCTCCACCGTGAGGATGATCAACTGGATTCATAGCCACACCCCGAACAACCGGTCTCCGACCGAGCCATCTGCTATGTCCAGCCTTCCTAAGCTTGCGATCACCGTGAGTTGGATTAGAGACCGTGCCAACAGTAGCCCTGCATCGAGAATCAATCAACTTTTTAACACCAGACGGAAGTTGAACTAAACAGTACGCCGATGTCGGCTCTTTCAAGATCTTTGCATTGGTTCCAGCTGCCCGAACGAGCTTTCCACCTTGTCCTGGGTTCAGCTCAATGTTGTGAATGATTGTTCCAATTCTCATTGCAGAGAGAGGCATACAACTTCCGATCTGCGAGTTTATATCAGAATACATCATTCTCTCGCGCGCCTCATCAGGAATAGTGTTCCCAACCTGTCCTAAAAAACCAAAACAAAGAATCATAAGCTTACGAAAAATGATTTAAACATTGAAAAAAAAATGAAAAATGAAAGTACCAGAAGAGAATCGACGAAGAGCATTGGTGAACAAATTGAATACCGACGACGATGTGGGGCGATTTCTCAATAATGTTGCAGCCATTCATACAAATTGAAACTGTCACAGAAAAGAGCAATTACACAGAAAAATTCATCTGGTAAAGAAAAAGCAATGAAAAAGAAGAATGTAAACGACTTTGATTCAGTGCAAATTTTGATTAGGTTAAATTTGATTGCAAATGCGAAGATGTTAACACTGAAACTAACATCTATGTTTTCAATCGCGAGATATACAAGAGAAGGGAAGGAAGATCTTTGAAATGAGAAAAGGAAAACCTGGAGAATTTTATCGCTGTTTCTGGTGGCCGGGTTACAGCTCCGGCTGTGTTATCCGGCTAATTGAGTTCCGTGCGGCTACAACCCCGGCTGCGTTTTCCGATACAAGAGCAAAGTAACGACTGTTTTTTTTAGTTTAGGGTTCTAGGAATATTTAATTTTGTTAAAATTAAGATTGGAAATGAATCGAATCGAGTCGAAGTCACTTTAGTTAGGTTCAACTCGTTAAGAATTGGTTCGGATTAAATTTTGGTTCGAGTTCTTTTTTTAAGTTTATACTAGAACTCTTTAAAAATTCACGATTTTTTTCGATTCATTTCGTTAGATTCAGCTTACTTGTTTCACATATTTAAAAGTCATTTTTTAAAATTATTTTATTTTTATCTATTTGACATTTTAAATTAATATTTTCTTTTATAAATAAAATATTGAAATAAAATAAAAGTGATGAGTATGAAATTTAATTTTGTTTTAAAAATCTACTAAAAACTACACAATTTTCAAGAGACACATTAGAAAGTTTAATTCAAAAAACACTAAATTAAAGTTTAAATTTATCTAAAAAATTCATAACTTCATCAAATATTTAGAAAACTTACAAATTTAATGAAATAGTACACACACAAAATACTAAAAATTTCATCAGAGAATAATTACACCACTTGCAACCTTCATTACACATATTATTTTAGCCAATGTCATAACGTCTTCAACAAAAATGACTTTAAATGCAATTGTCAGATTTATTTTCATAACTAGTATATAAGGGACAATATATGATTAAAATTTGGAGTAAATCTTTAAACATACTATTAAAGATAATATAATCATACTCATATATAATCGAGTTGACTCATGAATCTAACGAGTCGACTATGTATAGTTCAAGTTCGGCTCATTTAGTTAACGAACATGGTTTTTCACTCATATTCAGCTCATTTGATTCATGAACCTAGTCCAACGATTTAATTGTTGAACCGAGTTTCGAACTATTTTCGAGTTAGTTCGGTTCATTGTCAGCCCTAGTTAAAATTCAAATTAAATAATAATTAAAATAAATTTTTTGAGAAAATACTCATTACGCTCGTGGTGTGTCACACATGAAATCCAAAAATGTATGTCAAACGCATCTAAATTCACATCAGATTTCATTTTTTTGAGATTCATCCCATTTTGAATAACATATGGTCTAGAGATGTATTTTCGTATATTATTTGAGTATGTCGGGAGATACATCTCTAAAATATTCTCTAAAATCATTTGAAAGATATTTGAAGCATGTTAAATGCATGGAGGAATCATTTCACACCAGTAGCATTGTTTCAAGAATTTAATTTTTTGTGACCAAATTATATTAAAGTAAACTCAAGCTATATTAAAGTAAAATGAAAGCAAAAAGTCATGCATTAGTTAAAGTAAATCCAAAAATTCAATACCATACATAAAATTTGTCCAAAAAAAAACAAACAAACAATACATCCAAACATAAGATATTGGATATGTCTAACCCCTTTTCCTTATCCTTAGCATGTATTGCACGACATTCCGTAATTTGGGAATCATGCTCTTCACGAGGGCCAACTAGAGACTGTCATCCTCATAGATTCATGCCTTTATGTCCGCTCTACTTATCTCCATAACACACTGACTAACCACCGACACAAACTCGGTGTGATCATCCCTAGCCTCAAGTACCGCCTGATTAGGTGACCTATGTGGTCTTCCAAGAGCATCTGGTGTCATGATATGGTGTGACACTGTTAGCCTAAAAATGTTAGTTGAAGGACACTCAACAAAGAGTGGTAATAACTACGTTGAAAATACTCTGTCAAGAGCTTCAACCAAAGACTTTGACATATTGATTATGTCGACTAAGATGGTTCGACTAACCTATCACTTGAGTCAAAGCAAAGGCTAGTTTTGAGGAGTCTCAAGAACAGATCCACAAGATTGTGATCACTGTCTTTTCCACGTGTTTAATATCTTAAAAAGGGTTTCACAAATCAGACATTTGACTAGTGTCGAAGTCGACACGCCTAAAAGGTGTTAGGGACTTATTCTTAAGTTCAAAGACTATGTTATATGAAGATGCCTCAGTATTAGGGGAGATAATCAAAGACTCTCGACAGGAACAGTTAAGACGTTCAAAGCAGTTATTAACATATTGGTTGCTTTTCAGTAGTTTTTTCTTTGAAGGCGCGTGGAAGCGCAATATAGTAATGAAGTCTATGTAGTGGGATATGTGTTGGATTATTAGGATATATCTGTTTTTGACGGTTATTATTGTATTAATATATAAGCCAATCTCAATGTATGAGATCAAGGTTGCAACTTTTCAATAATTCTCTACAGAACTAGAGTATCCAAGTCAAATAAAGAAACAATTTGTGAGAAATGTGAACCTGCGTCCATTCTTTAAACTTTCTTTAAATATTTTGTATTCAAAGCATTTACTTTAGAGTGTGTTTGGATGATAATTGAGAATTTTTAAGAAATTTAAAATTCTAAGTAATTCAAATGATTCAATTGAAATTCATTCATTTTAAAATTCTCTTGTTTGGATGGAGTATTAAAACAATTTATTGTTAAATTTTAGGGATCATTTTCATAAATTTTAAAAATTTTGGGTCAAATTTAAAATATGAAAAAGGGACCAATTTGCAATTTTTGAAAATTTAAAGGATCAATTTGTAAATTTTGAAAATCATTAGAGACTTATTTGCAATTATTTGAAAATTTTGGGGGTGAATTTGGAATTTTCATAGAATATGAGGACCAACTTGAACAATTTGAAAAATTAATATTAAACAATTTAACATTTGCATTAGATATTGTGAGGAAGCAATTTGAAATTCTTTATTTTTTGGTATCATTTTAAATTCCTTAAATTTAACATGAATAAAATACTCCATAAATTTACATCATTTTACCAATTCTCCATATTTTTTTATCCAAACAATGGATTTTGATTAATCCATTTCAAATTCCTCAAAAAATAACATTCCTTCATTAAAATGCTTCACCTAAACACACTCTTAATGTCATTTATCCTCTTTACTGTTTGTTATCTTTATCCAAATCACATCGTTTACGCCTAGCTTATCATTATTCAAGCATTTAAATTTCAATCATACACACTTTTCTTCGCAACCTTTTACACATATTTTTCTTGAGATTTTTCAAGTTAATATCTTAAGTGAACTAAATTCATGATTGTCTACTAAATTTACTAGTAAACAAATTTACATGTCCAGTGGGACCCTTTAGTGCAAGATTTTTAAAACTTTTTGCAGAAAAGTGTTATGTCTTTTATATAGCTCATTTGTGTTTTCATATGAAATATCTTCATTTGGTAATTGTTTATACGTCTCAAGAATGGTAAGAAACTTAAAGAAATGACTTGTCCAACTAACAACCCAATTCCTCGTCGGAGTAATGCTCCTAATGTAGAACAATAATCAATAAATTTGATTGATGGGAATACATGGACTTCAACCACAATTGGAGAAAACCATACGATTATAAGTCAGATAACAATGTCGACTATATCACCAGAAATGGTGGTATCCTTAACATAAGTAACGAGTGTGCCCACCACCCAAAGATTACATGCATGGTAGGAAACCAGAGACCTATTTTCCCCTCGAATTTTACATTACCCCGAGTGGTAGGGAACAACCTTATGGCATGTCAACCACGACGATGACAAGCTTACACCCTAGTGCATCTACGTAGGGAGATAATGCAATAGTTATTGCATCCCCTGTTAACCCATACTTAGCATCAAGGTCTGTTGTTAACAACCCTAATCGAATGACTCAACCACCAGATGTAGGACATATTCCTCCATGTATGTCATTCTTAACTAATAATTCTTTCCAGTTTGTGAGACAAAAACTGGATAAGACTAATCACAAAATGGTTAACATGCTTACACATCTAAATAGGCACAATGTTCAATCCTCTAGTTTAGAACAATAATCATAGTTACCAACAATTATCACAACAAATGGGTCAAATTGCTGATTTTTTGGTGCACCTCTAGCTCCTGTTCAGCAGATACCTAACAATCAGGCCACACAGTAGGCAATACTTATTGAACCACCCAAACACATAGTAGTCGAAGGCAATGCTGGACAAAATGGCCTTGAGGTGGTAATGTTGCATAGAAACTAATATGTTGACTAAGTATTTAGAAATGACCAACAAAATAATTTTAGGGGGCAGAATAATATAATTAATATGGTCGAACATATATTAGCCCATAACAACCTTAATCTTGATCTTCATAAATCAATTTTATAGCACCAAATAGAACATTGGTAGAAAACAAAACAAGAAAAATTAAAAACTAAAAATAACTAACAAAAATAAAACTAAAATTCAAAATAATAAAACATCACGCAACTATTGCCTTTTTGAAATTATCAACAATCCTCAGCATTGGCCTAAAAAACTTGATGATTAAATTAGCAAGTATATTAGTCTTGTCGAAGTAATAAAATAATTTGCCTCCACGGAAATTGCAAATTAAAACAAGGTAATAACGATGCGATTTAAAATAAATAAAAGGGGTTTCAATTATGATTTGGTACGAATTCAAAGATGAGATAAACTTTCGGGTTAATTTTTGATAAGGAAAAACGATTAGATATTTTTATCGAATCCTCTGATTCTTCCTGTTGATGAATGTGTATCAGATGATCAACAATTATATGATAATTGTACAATGAATTATCAAGACCACTGCATCCAATTTCTTGGTGTGCAACTCACTAATTTAAATGATAATTTCCTAATTCCTTAGGCCAATTTAAATGATAATTTCCTAATTCCTTAGGCCAATTTAAATTTAAATTAGGTGTTTCTAAGTTCATTAATTCAATAGCCACGACTTATAATTACATACTCCTAGTTATTTACTGAGTCGAACAATTGTCTTAGTTCATATTGGTAGAGTTACGGTCAATAATCCATACTAATCTAAAATCACTTTGTGCGCTCGTCAATACACAAAGAGAAATGAAAACAAGAACAACTAAATATTAATTATAACAAAAAAGTATCCACAAAATCTCAAACATTCATATGATCCAACAGAGTACGATTAGGTTCATCTCAAAAGACCCAATTTAAACTAACTTAGCTACTCATATTGAGATTAGTAATTAGCATGAGTTGATAAGAAGTATCCATCCTAATGAATGGAAAATAAGCTCTAAAATGGCTTCAATGCACTTTAAATCCGCTCACCAAAAGCTCTTGAATGTCACTTTCTCTCTAAAAATTTGAACCTTCAAAAGAGTAGCAAAAGTTCCTTTAAAAAGCTGAAAAACACATGACAGGGAAATGCGTCATTGCGACCGTGATAATACTCATCACAACCACGATATGAAGGTCTGTCATAGCTTTTATTGGAACCAGGGATCTCGAGAGCCAAACACCTATAATTTCCGTGTCAGAATATCAAGGGATGTGCTACCAAGCATACAGTCAATGAATGTACCAAATTAAATGGTCATTTCTAAGAAGTTCGATCAATCATAACCACTTAAAAGGAAAACCCAAAGGTCTCCACAAAAGTCCGTAATATCAAAAGACTAAACCTTGAAGGTGCAGGAAACACAAGAAATGAGGGTGAATCGGGTTTCCAATTTTATAACTTTTTGCTTCCCAAAACAACCATAAGAATAATAAGAATAAAAAGAATGGTGATAAAAGACATAATCATTTTATCCTGATTCACCGTTAACTAGGCTACCTCTAGTCCACCCATCAGGTGTTTTGCCTTAGCCAATTACTTAATCCAATGATTAAATCTTGATTACAAAGCAATGACAACTCATCGTTGATTACCTCAAGAGCCTGACCAACCTAGTCGCTTGAGAAACCCCAACAATCATTGACTTTTTAAGACCTTATTTACCTTATCACTTAAGAATATTTCTCAGTGAATTCCTATCACTCACATCTCAAGAGCCTGACCAACCTGGTCGCTTAAGAAACATAACCAGAATGAGTTAATGCAGTTTGTGTTTACAGGTGTGCTTCTTAGATAAACATATTACACAAGATGAAGTTAAGATGTTTACACTTAAAAGATATACAATGAAAGTTCTAAGTATTTCTCTCTTTGCAGTGTGGTGATGTTATGGCTTCATTGATTGCTAAAATTCACACACATCAACATGCATGCTTGCATTCACACGCTATTTCTTCCTTTCTTTCTTTTTCTTTTATGCTCGCTTTCTCATCGACATCTTCAACATCTTTCACCTTCCATATTCTTTAGAATATATGGGGGATGAATAGATCCGTTAGAGGATAGAAAAGAAATTGAATTTTGAAGTATTTGTTGTATAAAGGTCACTTCATGTGCAACAGTTGAGCGATGCTTACAACATAAAACTGTTTGATGATGCGACGTGAGAAGTCTTCTTTACTTCAAAAGTAGATTTGCTTTTTGAAATTCTGTCACATCAAACAGTAAAGACCTTTAATTCAAATCTTTTAGTCAGAGGTTTCTTATGAAAGTGGTTTGAAGCCTGGGTAGAGATTATAATTTGTCTTCATAAGGAAATCTCTTTTTGATTGTACATTTCTTTAGTATCTTACTCGTCATAATCAAAGGCTTTATATAATAGATGAAATGAATTTTTATCAGAGTCCATAACCTAGATGATGTAAACTAGAAAGTCTATTAAGAGTGAGGCTTGAAAGTACTACGGTCCAAAGTGAATGTGAACAGCAAATGCATAAGCATTTAATACGTTGTTCGACTCAGATGTATTGATTGTAAAATAATATTTCCTCTGCTTACCAACTTCTAGTAAGGGGCTTATAATATAGCTTGATGAAGCTTGAGTTGAGTTTAGAAGATATATTCAGAACGTTGAGAGACTTTAGATTCCTTTGAGTACTTAGTTTTGAGACTTGTACGCACTTGTTAGTCAGAGCTTTATTAGAGTTTATTTGGATGGGTTATTTTAAAAAAAGTTGACTTGATAATCTTAAAGCTTGACTTGTTGAACATACATCTTTGTATTATTTCTTTGTTTAACATGTGTATTTTCTTTCTTCAATCTGGTTTTTGCTTTCTTCAGACTTCGTCTGCATTCAGATTGATTTCTTCAATGGCACAACTATCTTAAAAGTTTGGCTTTTATAGTTTCATGTCGTTCAGACATTGATTTGATTTGAAGTTTGCTTTCCATTTTCCTTTATCGTCTTCTGAGTTGACAACCATAGTTTGCTTCTTTTAGTGTCTTCAACTATCAGAGTTTTCTTAAGACAAGCAACTGTTGTTCCTTGGTCAGAATCTGCTTCAATCAACATTTTCTTTTTTCCATTTAGATTGTGTTTTGATCTTTGAGTATTTGCACACTTAACAAACAATTAGTGAATAAAATTGTTCTTATACACTTTGTTAATATCAAAACATAAAGGTACGTAGATGTATAACCAAACTTGTTCTTACGAACCTTCTCTAAGAATATGAAATTCACGCTTAACCTAAACTTAACCACGAAATAACACCACCTTTCTAAACATATTGCCTTCTCAACCATTTCATCCTAACACGCCTCTTGTTTAGGGGTTGTGGATTGTTATATCTCTTTTCAACCACTCTACCCTTACAAGCCTTGTGCTTAGTGGCTATGACTGTCATGAGTATTTTAACTTAAGCCCACCCCACTCTCCTTGATAGAGCGAGGTCATGTGAGTCACATTCGAGAAAGTAAACTCAAAACACTGCATGTTTCGTTAGGTCACAAGGACTATATATACATATATATATGGATTGCAAAACGGATCAGGTCCAACAAGGAGATCAAGATTTTAGGTTCACGTTTGTACTATGCCTGTCCCCGCCCTATTTTTAAGGAGTGCGTACGTTAATGAAGCAAACATGAATTTTAGCAAATTTTAAACTTTAGATATGTAAGGCCTGCGGATCCAACTCACCGTTTTTTTTTTGGGACAGACTAAGGTTTTTTGCCTACCCCTTCAACTATGTAAGTTCAACCCTACCCCATTTTTTTCATGAGATAAAAATAAAATGGGAGAACATGTTTATTTGACACCGAAATATATAGATTATCTTAGATATTATCTCTACTAATATATTCAAGCCTATACCAATTTAATTAAATCTGTTAAATATTAAAAAAATATTTATGAAAATTAAATCTATTAAAAAAATAATATTTATGATAATATTTAAAAATTAATAAATAAAAAATTTGTTATAATATCTACGCATGTAAAATAGTTTTTCACCAATGTTGTAACTACTGTTAACTTTAATCTATAATTAATGAAAACTTTATAAAAAGATTCCAAGAAAAAAACAAAGAGATTTGAGAAAAGACATCGAAAAATTCAAAGACGTTAGAGAAGAATAATTAAACTATGATATGATATACAGAAAAAAGTAACATCAACAAGCATTCCTCATTCCTACTGTCATGCACTTTCTCTCTCTTCACATTAGGGTTTCTCTCTCATCATTCACACACGCAGATTCAGATTCCCATCTACTCCTTTCATTCTCTTCATCCATAACTCAATTCTCAACTCGCTGAGTTTAACTCGCCTTCTCCAAGTTAATCAGTGAGTTCCACTTCCTTCTTTCTCTCTCCTACTTTAACTCATCAAAACCCTTTCTTCTTCTTTTTTGATTCTTCTATTGCCAAGTACAATTTTTCTTTCTTTTTATTAATGTTTACCTAAAAATGCAATTTTTTCAACGCCCTTTTCCAGGTTAATCGCAAAATCCACATTTTGATGATTCCTATGAAAAATAGCCCCAAATAAGGAAAAAACCCCAATCTTAAATCAGTTGATAATTGTTGTTATTTATCTAGTTTTAGTGTTTTGAATGGCTTCTGGTTCTGGTTCTGTTGGTTGTAATGGTGATAGTAGAATTGAGAATTTGATTTGTGCTACTAAATCATTGAAATTTAGCTTAGAGAAATCAAAGGTTGTTGGGTTAGCATTAGAGAAAGCAGGGCCAAGGTTAGATGAGATTAGGGTAAGGTTGCCTTGGCTTGAATCTGCGGTTCGGCCGATTCGTGCTGAGAAGGATGCTCTTGTGGCGGTTGGAGGGCATATTAATAGGGCTGTTGGTCCTGCGGCTGCTGTGTTGAAGGTTTTCGATGCGGTTCATGGGCTTGAGAAGTCTTTGTTGTCGGATCCGCGGATTGATCTACCGGGTTACTTGTCGGTTTTGAAGCGTCTTGAGGAGGCGTTGAGGTTCTTGGGAGACAATTGTGGGTTGGCTATTCAATGGTTGGATGATATAGTAGAGTATTTAGAAGATAATTCGGTTGCGGATCAGGTTTATATTAAGAATTTGAAGAAGGAGTTGGAGAGTCTTAAGGAATCACAGAATGGTGATTTAGATGGTGGTTTGTTAGATGCTGCTTTGGATAAGTTGGAGAATGAGTTCAGGTTGTTATTAACTGAAAACAGTGTGCCGCTTCCTATGTCGTCGAATTCTCTTGGTGATCAGGCTTGTATTGCGCCTTCGCCTTTGCCTGTTTCGGTGGTTCACAAATTGCAGGCTATTCTTGGTAGGTTGAGGGCTAACGACAGACTTGACAAATGTGTTTCGATTTACGTTGAAGTTAGAAGTTCTAATGTTAGGGCAAGTTTGCAGGCACTGAATTTGGATTACCTTGAGATCTCGGTGTCTGAGTTCAATGATGTGCAGAGCATAGAGGTGTATATAGCTCAGTGGGGAAAGCATTTGGAATTTGCGGTGAAGCATTTGTTTGAGGCCGAGTATAAGCTTTGTAATGATGTGTTTGAGAGGCTCGGACTCGATGTGTGGATGGGTTGCTTTTCAAAGATAGCTGCACAGGCTGGTATACTTGCGTTTCTTCAGTTTGGGAAGACCGTTACGGAAAGTAAGAAAGATCCCATTAAGCTTTTGAAGCTGTTGGATATTTTTGCGTCGTTGAACAAATTGAGGCTGGATTTCAACCGTCTTTTTGGGGGAGATGCGTGCGTTGAAATCCAAAATTTGACGAGGGAACTTATTAAAAGTGTGATTGATGGCGCAGCCGAAATTTTCTGGGAACTTCTGGTTCAGGTAGAGTTACAGAGACAGAGCCCTCCCCCTCCTGATGGCAATGTTCCTCGATTGGTAAGCTTTATCACTGATTACAGCAATAAACTCTTGGGGGACGACTACAAGCCTATACTGACCCAAGTTCTGATCATTCACCGAAGTTGGAAGCGTCAAAGTTTTCAGGAGAAGCTTCTTGTGAATGAGATTTTGAACATATTGAAGGCCATTGAAATAAATTTGGATACATGGATAAAGGCTTATGACGATCCTATGTTGTCCAATTTTTTTGCCATGAACAATCACTGGCATCTGTTCAAGCATTTGAAAGGGACGAAACTCGGGGATCTTTTAGGAGATTCATGGTTAAAGGAACACGAACAATATAAGGACTATTACTCGACAATATTCTTGCGAGATAGCTGGGGAAAACTCCCTGGACATTTGAGTAGAGAGGGGCTGATTCTTTTCTCGGGAGGGCGTGCTACTGCTCGCGATCTGGTCAAGAAAAGATTGAAAAAGTTCAATGAAGTTTTCGACGATATGTATTCCAAGCAATCAGGTTGGATCATGGTCGAGCGAGATCTGAGAGAGAAGACATGTCAGCTTATAGTGCAAGCTGTCGTGCCTGTTTACCGGAGTTACATGCAGAACTACGGTCCCTTGGTCGAGCAAGAGGCCAGTTCGAATAAATACGCAAAATACACAGTACAGAAGCTTGAAGAAATGCTTCTCTGTCTTTACCGGCCGAAGCCTGCAAGACACGGCAGCTTGAGAAGTCCACAGCTTAGTGGAAAGTACGGCAACGGAATACCAGATCTTCGTCGCACAGCCTCTGCAGTTGTGTAGTTTCCTAATCTTATATTATTTATAAAGGCGAAACGTGGACGAAAACGAAAATCTCCTCCCCGCATCAGATGGACGGTTACTGTATATAATTTTTCATTGGAGCTCTGCAATGCATGAGATAGGCTTGGCTTAGATTCTGAGAAGGAAAGTTATTCCATGAAAATGAAATTTTGTATCTTCCTCTAAAAGGGGTTTCTGTAAAAGATGTGCAATATCTAGGAGTACCTTAGCCTAGGGGTTATGATTCTTTGGTCAATAAATGTGAACCTTTTAATGAGGTTCTTTGGTCATACACCATGCTAAGGTAAATTAATTATTATTTTTTTATCCATCTTCATCATTGTCTATTCAGTTTGTAGAAGGATGATTGTACTATGCAGATTTAATGTACAATTTTTTTTAGTATACATGAATTTATAAGCTTAGATGTTCACTATCCTTGTTGTAACAAATGAGACTTCTTAGGAGGCGTAACTAAATATATGGTTTGGTTTGGATTTTAAAATTGTTTATATAAAATTGATTTTTTTTTTTAAAACCGATTTACAAGTGGATTGGTTCAGTTTCAAACTTGTTTTAAAAAAAAAACAGTTTTAAATCGGTTTATCTCAAAATCAGTTTTTTATTATTTTTTTTAAAGAAATCAGTTTTAAAACCAATTTTATAAAAAATATCAGTTTTAAAATCAATTTTAAAAAAAAAATCAATTTTATTGCAAAGTATCAAAAAATTGATAAACTACCTCAAACATTTTAATTATATACTTTGTATTAAGAAATGAAAATGTTCAAGCACAGAAAAATTGATTATTACATATATGGAAAATTCATATAAAAAATTAAACATGAATCCAGTTCATATAATTTTTCCTTACCATTTTCCGGTATATAAATTAAAGGGTTGTTGTATTTTTTTTAGTGTACATCAGAAAATCTCGAAGTCCTTTTGGATAAATATACAACCAATCTGAAATTAAATAGTTGGAATTTTTTATTTTCGAACACTTACATTTACACTAAAATTTTATGTTGGAGTTGAAAAATAAAATAGAATTAATTTTTTACACCTACTGTAGTCTATTATTTATGGTTCTTAGTGATAAAAAAACCTAAGACTTTGGGATGGTGAAGAAAAAGTCTAAAATATTTGTCATTCATTTATAGTCTTTTAACTCTGTGGCTTACTGACGAAGAAACATGAAATTTGGTGATGGAGAAGAAACATATTAAATATATTTACATCTAATTTACCATGATTCTATGTGAAAAAGGTAAATATAAATAAGTTTGAGCTTCATTATTTAATTTTAATTTTTACCTATATTATATAAAATATATGTCATGGACTATAGTCTTTTATCTTTCTTTTTTAATGGGGAAAAACCTAAAAATTTATGTTGGAGTTGAAAAATAAAATAGAATTAATTTTTTACACCTACTATAGTCTATTATGTATGGTTCTTAGTGATAAGAAAACCTAAGGCTTTGGGATGGTGAAGAAAAAACCTAAAATATTTGTCATTCATTTATAGTCTTTTAACTTTGTGGCTTACTGACGAAGAAACATGAAGTTTGGTGATGGAGAAGAAACATATTGAATATATTTACATCTAATTTACCATAATTCGATGTGAAAAAGGTAAATATAAATAAGTTTGAGCTTCATTATTTAATTTTAAGTTTTACCTATATTATTAAAAAAAATATGTCATGGGTTATAGTCTTTTAACTTTGTTTTCTAGTGGGGAAAAACCTAAAATTTTATGTTGGAGTTGAAAAATAAAATATAATTAATTTTTTACACCTACAATAGTCTATTATGTTTGGTTCTTAGTGATAAAAAAACCTAAGACTTTGGGACGGTGAAGAAAAAACCAAAAATATTTGTCATTCATTTATAGTCTTTTAACTTTGTGGCTTATTGACGAAGAAACATGAAATTTGGTGATGGAGAAGAAACATATTGAATATATTTACATCTAATTTACCATAATTCAATGTGAAAAACATAAATATAAATAAGTTTTAGCTTCATTATTTAATTTTAATTTTTACCTATATTATTTAAAAAAATATATCATTGTTATAGTCTTTTAACATTGTTTTTTAGTGGGAAAAAACCTAAAATTTTATGATGGAGTTGTAAAATAAAATAGAATTAATTTTTTAAACTTACTATAGTCTATTATGTATGGTTCTTAGTGATAAAAAAACCTAAGACTTTGGGATGTTGAAGAAAAAACCTAAAATATTTGTCATTCATTTATAGTCTTTTAACTTTGTGGCTTACTGACGAAAACACATGAAATTTGGTGATGGAGAAGAAACATATTGAATATATTTACATCTAATTTACCATAATTCAATGTGAAAAAGGTAAATATAAACAAGTTTGAGCTTCATTATTTAATTTTAATTTTTACCTATATTATATAAAATATATGTCATGGACTATATGATCTTTTATCTTTGTTTTTTAATGGGGAAAACCATAAAATTTTATGTTGGAGTTGAAAAATAAAATAGAATTAACTTTTTACACCTACTGTAGTCTATCATTTATGGTTCTTAGTGATAAAAAAACCTAAGACTTTGGGATGATGAAGAAAAAGTCTAAAATATTTGTCATTCATTTATAGTCTTTTAACTCTGTAGCTTACTGACGAAGAAACATGAAATTTGGTGATGGAGAAGAAACATATTGAGTATATTTACATCTAATTTACCATGATTCTATGTGAAAAAGGTAAATATAAATAAGTTTGAGCTTCATTATTTAATTTTAATTTTTACCTATATTATATAAAATATATGTCATGGACTATAGTCTTTTATCTTTCTTTTTTAATGGGGAAAAACCTAAAATTTTATGTTGGAGTTGAAAAATAAAATAGAATTAATTTTTTACACCTACTATAGTCTATTATGTATGGTTCTTAGTGATAAGAAAACCTAAGACTTTGGGATGGTGAAGAAAAAACCTAAAATATTTGTCATTCATTTATAGTCTTTTAACTTTGTGGCTTACTGACGAAGAAACATGAAGTTTGGTGATGGAGAAGAAACATATTGAATATATTTACATATAATTTACCATAATTCGATGTGAAAAAGGTAAATATAAATAAGTTTGAGCTTCATTATTTAATTTTAAGTTTTACCTATATTATTTAAAAAAATATGTCATGCGTTTTAGTCTTTTAACTTTGTTTTTTAGTTGGGAAAAACCTAAAATTTTATGTTGAATTTGAAAAATAAAATATAATTAATTTTTTACACCTACAATAGTCTATTATGTTTGGTTCTTAGTGATAAAAAAACTTAAAACTTTGGGATGGTGAAGAATAAACCTAAAATATTTGTCATTCATTTATAGTCTTTTAACTTTTTGGCTTATTGACGAAGAAACATGAAATTTGGTGATGGAGAACAAACATATTGAATATATTTACATCTAATTTACCATAATTCAATGTGAAAAACGTAAATATAAATAAGTTTTAGCTTCATTATTTAATTTTAATTTTTACCTATATTATTTAAAAAAATATATCATGGGTTATAGTCTTTTAACATTGTTTTTTAGTGGGAAAAAACCTAAAATTTTATGATGGAGTTGTAAAATAAAATAGAATTAATTTTTTAAACTTACTATAGTCTATTATATATGGTTCTTAGTGATAAAAAAACCTAAGACTTTGGGATGTTGAAGAAAAAACCTAAAATATTTGTCATTCATTTATAGTCTTTTAACTTTGTGGCTTACTGACGAAAAAACATGAAATTTGGTGATGGAGAAGAAACATATTGAATATATTTACATCTAATTTACCATAATTCAATGTGAAAAAGGTAAATATAAACAAGTTTGAGCTTCATTATTTAATTTTAATTTTTACCTATATTATATAAAATATATGTCATGGACTATATGGTCTTTTATCTTTGTTTTTTAATGGGGAGAACCATAAAATTTTATGTTGGAGTTGAAAAATAAAATAGAATTAATTTTTTACACCTACTGTAGTCTATCATTTATGGTTTTTAGTGATAAAAAAACCTAAGACTTTGGGATGGTGAAGAAAAAGTCTAAAATATTTGTCATTCATTTATAGTCTTTTAACTCTGTAGCTTACTGACGAAGAAACATGAAATTTGGTGATGGAGAAGAAACATATTGAGTATATTTACATCTAATTTACCATGATTCTATGTGAAAAAGGTAAATATAAATAAGTTTAAGCTTCATTATTTAATTTTAATTTTTACCTATATTATATAAAATATATGTCATGGACTATAGTCTTTTATCTTTCTTTTTTAATGGGGAAAAACCTTAAATTTTATGTTGGAGTTGAAAAATAAAATAGAATTAATTTTTTACACCTACTATAGTCTATTATGTATGGTTCTTAGTGATAAGAAAACCTAAGACTTTGGGATGGTGAATTAAAAACCTAAAATATTTGTCATTCATTTATAGTCTTTTAACTTTGTGGCTTACTGACGAAGAAAAATGAAGTTTGGTGATGCAGAAGAAACATATTGAATATATTTACATCTAATTTACCATAATTCGATGTGAAAAAGGTAAATATAAATAAGTTTGAGCTTCATTATTTAATTTTAAGTTTTACCTATATTATTTAAAAAAATATGTCATGGGTTATAGTCTCTTAACTTTGTTTTTTAGTGGGGAAAAACCTAATATTTTATGTTGGATTTGAAAAATAAAATATAATTAATTTTTTACACCTACAATAGTCTATTATGTTTGGTTCTTAGTGATAAAAAAAACTAAGACTTTGGGATGGTGAAGAAAAAACCTAAAATATTTGTCATTCATTTATTTATAGTCTTTTAACTTTTTGGCTTATTGACGAAGAAACATGAAATTTGGTGATGGAGAAGAAACATATTGAATATATTTACATTTAATTTACCATAATTCAATGTGAAAAACTTAAATATAAATAAGTTTTAGCTTCATTATTTAATTTT